CCAATTCTTTCTTACATAATTGCCATTTCTTTTCCAGTTGTTTTCCTACTGCTCTCATTTCTTTACCAATTCTTTCCTCTAGTGCTCTCATTTTGTGTATAAAATTATTTTTCAACTCTTTAAACAAATGCTTGCTTCATCTCTTCCAGGAATTCTAATTGAATTTATGCCCAAAGTGTTCTGTTCTTTGAAACTTTTTGTTTAGATGTCTTAGAGTAATTCTGTTCTTCTTCCTTTTTGTTTTAAGTGTCCCTGTCATTCTAATAGTTCTTTATGGTGGGATTCTTTTTTTTTTTTTGCTTATTCTTCCAGTCTTGTTTCCTGAATTTGGACTTTGTGTTAGGGCCAGACTCTTTATACTTCTGGAGCTCTACTTAGTCCTATTTTTTGTCCTCTTGGTTCCTAATAATGCTTTCTTAGGGCATTGAGTGTTGTATTACTCAGAGATTTCAGGGACAGCTTAAAGTTGAGGACCTTTAAGCTTTCCATATGCTCAAAGTGATTTGATCCAGGGTGACGTCTGAGCACTGCCTTTTTAGCCTGAGTTCTGCAAGTTGCTGTGCTGTGTTGGAGTTTAAGCAAAATAGATATGGGCTTGCCACCCCTAGGTAGGGTTTCCTCCTCAGGCCACACTGGATCGGTGATCTACCTCTGGGGTATGAGAGACACATTGCCAGTTGGCCCCTGTTCCTGCTTCAATACAAAGTCAACCCCTTCTGTGCTGGATATGGGATTTCTTGCCCTGGTACACAATAGTGGTCAGGCTCATATTTAGTCTCTACTGGAATGCTCTCCTTAGTGAGCTTCCCATTTGTCAGTCCTATTGTATGCCTGTGAAATCTGGACAGTCTACCAGTGCCATGCCAGGAAATTGAATCGCTTCCATTTGAATTGTCTTAGGAAGATTCTGAAGATCACTGGCAGAATAGGATACCAGACACTTAGGTCCTTTCTTGAGCTGAACTTCAAGTGTTCAAACTCTACTGCAGAAAGCAAAACTCCAATGGACTAGGCATGTTGTTTGAATGCAAAATGTATGCTTGCCAAAAAGACTATTTTATGGAGAACTCACACAGAGCAAGTGCTCACATGGTGTTCAGAAGAAGTGATAAAAGGACAATCTCAAGGTGTCTCTTAAGAACTTTGGAATTGATTATGTGACATGGGAGAAAATGGCACAGGACCACTCAGCATAGCATGCCCTCATCAGAGATGGTACTATGCTTTATGACCAATGCAGAATTGAAGTAGCTCAAAAGAAATGCGAGATGTGCAATTTAGAGAATCCACCCCAAATATTCACATGGACTATTTGTACACTACCTATGGTATAGCATTCCAAGCTCATATTGGTCTGATCAGCCACAGTCGGATGCACTGTAACTTGACTCTAGCATAGTGGTATCATTTTGGTCCTCTTTGAGAATGAAGGACAACAACCAACCTGTTGTTTGCAGCCTTAGAGAGGTCTGTGCCAACCTGGACTGGAAAAAATGACTCCCTGTGATTTTTTTTTTGTAATTCCTGATTAATATTTGGTGCATTTTTAGATCTTTGTGGAGTAGTTGTGGGATAGAACTTAGCTGTACTGCTTCTTCCTACTCAGTCATCTTGGTTAGCTTAAACTCACTTACTCTTAATTAATTCACTTTTTAAAAAATAATCCTATCTAACTGATTTCTAAGCCCACACCAAGTTTTTTTTTTAAGTAGATTACATGGGAGTGAAAGAGGCTGCTACAAGCAAATAGACTGATATAGCAAGAAAAGGCAGTTACCAACCCAGTGTGAATGTAAGAAGACAGAATGATTATAATAAGTAGAAATGAGGACTCAAAAATTATGGTACAGGTATTTATGGAATAGTCAAATAGCCATACATGTATCAGTAAGACAATACAACATAACAGAATCAACCTAAGAGTTGGAAGAGATCTAACACACTCTAAACCCAAACAAGAATTCCTTCTATAATTAACCCAACCTTTGATATTCATAATGAAATCCTTATTAAGAAAAGTTTATATTGAAGAAGGTGGGATGTTTAAAATACATTTTAGAAAGATTTTTATCCAAGATGATTAAAGTAAAAATTGTGTGCATAATCCCCCTGAGTAGGAGGTGTAAAAACAAAGAGATGATAAGGAACAAGTATAGTATAATAAAAAAAAAAGTTTTAGATTCAGAGGACATGGGTTCAAATTCTTTGATACTAGGATGTGGGTTCAAATCCTTTGATACTACTTTTGTGACTCTATGTAAATTACCTAACCTCTTTGGGCCTCAGTTTCTATATTTGTCAGAAAAAAAGGATTGGATCAAATGAGTCTAAGTTCCCTCCCAGGTCTAGGACTCTAAGTCAAATTCTCTCCTTTGCTGGTCATCAGGTGACACCAGTGCTCCCAGACTGCTTAGTTTTGTCTAGAACAAGCTAGAAGGAGGTAGATAGGAAGGGTATGATGCTTTTGAGCTAGATGAGGAGAGAGAATTCAGTTTGAATTGACCCATAGTTACTACATATGTTCAGGATATGTCTATTATTAAGAAAGGCATAGTGTTCAGCAGTAGGGAATCCCAGGGTGTTCCACTCATGTCAGACTACATTTGGAATGTTACGTTCAGTTCTGGGCACCATGGTTTAATGGGTATATTGATAATCTGGAGAACTTTGAGAGGATGGTCACCAGGATGATGAGGGGTCTCAAATTTGTGTCATTCCTTAAAAACAGTAGGAATGTTTTGCCTGTAGAAGAAAGTACTTAGAAGATGTAGTAGTTATCTTTGTAGAGAGATTAGACTGATTGGGGGGAGGGGGTACAGTCTTCTTCAACCAGCCCAGTCCTTGTGATTTTCATAGAGTAGAGGAGCATAATGTTGGGCGAGGGGTGGGAGGAAGGTTAAAAAGTTTCTTTACCATTTCATCTAGCCATTCTCTTCTGTCTTTCAAGCAGTAGAACCTTGGGGATTGAATGTTTTTCATCTACAGGCTATGATAATATCTAAGAACTAAAATAGGTTTATGACCTTAAGTCTGATGAGAATTAACTGAGGAGTTCAGAGTAGACAGTAGAAATTAGTTAAAAGAACTGTTCAAAGAGTAGCAGGTGGTCCTGAAGCTACCACCCCAGATGAAAACTAAAGCTGAGGCACAGTGAGAAGCCTTAAGGGCTGCAACACTTTTCTGCAGGGGAGAGGCTTACTAACCACAGCATCCCTATTGGATGTTGCATAAGATTATGTCCCTAAAAATAGCTGGATAACTGAAGACCAGATGGAGCAGCATCATGAGGTGCAAAAGGGAGCTCCAGAAACTTGGTAATGCCTAGCAGAGCACAGTGGAAAGTAATACCCTATAGGGAGAAGACCCAGCATGATGATAACACCAGAAGACATGAGCAACTCTGTAGTATTGGAGGTATTATTTGTCTTTTTACTCATATGCCTTAGCCAAGTGTATTCCCCACGTGTATATGCTGCATATGTGATTTCTCTGCAGGTTTAGTCTTCCCAGTGAGCCTGTATGTATTTGCCTGTGTGTAAGTTCAGAGTGTATGGGGGTAATGTGTTATTGTTACATTTGTTGCGGGGTAAAGATGGTGAGGTAGTGCAGTGGATAGAGCACTGGAGTCAGAAAGGCTTGCATTCCAATGTAGCCTCAATCACTTACTAGCTGGGTGACTCTATGCAAATCATTTAACCACTAACTGCTTCATTTTCCTTGTCTGTAAAATGGGGGTAATAATAGCATCTTCCTCCCAGGGTGGTTTTGAGGATCAAATGAGATAATATTTGTTAAGCACTTAGCTCAATGCCTGGCACCTAGTAGGCACTTAATAAATTGCTTATTCCCTTGCCTCTACGTTATTTCATTAAATGCCTTTATTCTTGCGCTAGGAAGCTTGGGTTGCTGTCCTAAGCCCATGTAGGCAGATGGTTCAAATAACTGATTCAGCACAAATAAGGAGCAATGATACGCACTGGTAGTTCTTGTGCTGATTCTGGTTCTGGTTAGCTCTGACTCAGTTCTGACTCCTTTTCTCCTATGGAGATGAAGCTTGCAAAGGTGGCTAGAGAGTGGAAATACCATCAGGTCAGAAGAGGCATTTCTTCCTGCCGCCCCAATACACATATTGGTAGGTTTTATGTGTGTGTGTAACTGGGGGCAAGGCCTCCAGAAACTGCCACATCACTGAGGTTTGAAAACTTCAGTCAGGCAAGAAATAAACATTTTTGTTTTAGCTTGAGGTAGCTGGTGGCATAATGGATAAAGCATTGGGTCTGGAGTCAAGAAGACCCAAGTTCAAATCCAGCCTTAGACACTTTCTTCAACTGTAAAATAATGATAGCTCCTACCTCACAGGAATAAAGGGGATAATATTTGTAAAGCACTTAGTGCAATGGCTGGCACATGTGAGGTGCTATATAAATGGCTTGTATTTTTTTAGCTGCCTGTGGGGGAGAGGTGAGAGATGTCCACCAACATCCTTAATTGCCTCTTTCTCTCTCCCTCCTCCAGCCCAGTGGTTTGTAATCCTGTAAGTTCTATAGCTTAGAGACTTGGAATCCCCACCCAAATCTCAGGCAAGGAACTTCCCCTATTGAAATCTTGGCTTCTCTTTTGGACCTGTTTCTTTTCTTGTAATGTATATAGGCCTAGTTATAGCCCACCACATCTCTGAGCTAGGTGTTTCCCTCTGACTGACTAGTAAAAGCAAGCCCATCAATGGGTCATTGTGAGCTATAATTCAGAAGAGAGGATTCTTGCTTAAATCCTGAGGTAGCCTACTGTGAACTCATAGGTCAAGGGAACTCTGGGTGCTACAGCTTAAGACATTTAAAGGGATTTTATGTGGAAGTGGGACTAGACTAGTTCAATCTGGCCCCAGAGGGTAGAAGGAGGAGCAGTGGTGGGAAGTGGCAGAGAAGAAAAATTAAACTTGATATGAAGAAAAACATCCTAATACTTAAGCGCTATCTAAAAAAGGAATAGGCTGCCATGACAGCTAGCGCATTCCATCTCCTAGAAGTCTTCTAACGATGGATGGATGGCCATGTGTCATCCATGTGTCAGCCATGTTGCACAAGTGACTCGGTCACATGCACGCTTGACTAGAGACTCTGAGTTTCTATGATGTATTTGACAGTTGGATCATCAGATCTCTTAGAGCATGGACAGTACCTTTTGTTAGTCTTTTTGTACTTCCTAGTAATAATGTGCTGTGTTCACAAGGGCTAATCCATAAATATTGATAACTGGATGACAACAATGTTTCTGACAATAGAAATTGTTCATTTAAGTTTTAAAGCAAAACATGATATTTTGTGGTGAAGAAGGATTACAGGATGAAGGTTAACAAAGCAGATGAAACAAAGTACGAAAACTAATTTTCTTACATAAAATGCTCACACTGATATCAGTTGGAGTTTTTCACACATGACAAATACAGTCTAGGATTTTTAATTGTTTTTGTTTGGGGTGGGTTTTTTATTATTTTAAGGAAGGAAATCACTTAACAAGTGATATACTTTCTAATTTCCTTGCATTCCAAATCACTGTTATGATTAATGTGTACATGGATGTATTGTTCTGCAATTCCTTTCAGTGATGCATCTGTTTGCATGTTTTGTGTTTTTCTTAAATTTAGGCATTGCTTTTGAGCCTTCATCAAAGCAGTCTTGCTTCTAGCTTGTGCTTCTCTCCTCTCCAAATGTTGTTTACTGAAAAGAAAAGGAAGAGTTACCTTGAGTCAACTCATTTAACCATCCTCACTGCTTTCTTTTTACAGAAAGTATGTTATTCAAGGTTTCTGGATAACTCCTGGCACACCTCAGAATACAAGCACTCAGAAAAATAAAATAAGCAGCTCAGTACTTTAACCACCATACATGGTTCTCCATGACCACCCACATCCCCTCACCCCGCCCCCACCATGCATATTTTGCTATCAGCCACAGATTAGCATGAGATAAAGCTGGAAAAGGAGGATGGCACCAGTACCATGGGTACCACATGGAACAAGGGTGGAAGAGACAAAAGGTGGGTGGGAGACTCCCCAGGGCTAATCTTGTGTCATTGAGGTTGTATCTCATGGAACTCATAGAGCAGAAAGAAGTAGGTGAAGCTGTTTTGTGAGTCAAGTCCCAGGGTATGATTATACCACCTCTTCCTTCATACAAAGATGGTTTGGGGGTGGGATATTTAAAGAAAAGAAAGGGCAATTCCTAATGCCAGTGGAGCTAAGACTGGTCACAATTCTTGTTTCCTTTAAGGTAGTTAAGATTAGCAGTGAGAGAGGAACTGAGAAAATGAGTAGACACCTTCAACAAGAGAAGAGAGGAACAGTGGCATCAGTGTGGTTGATGGTGTTTTCCCCCTTGTAGACATTTTGTAGGCTCCACTGGTCTAAGTCCACTAGAGGCAAGATTATGATATCTCTACCCATCCCCCTCTCCTACTCAAGTGGCACTGTGGCTATGCTTTGTTTCTGTTCCAATGTTGTGGGTTAGCTCATTGGAAAAGCAAGTCCATGAACCTACACATAATTCAGGTTTGATCTAGGCTGCATTTCTGACCAAGCAAGTTGAGATTCTACCCTATTCCACAGGGGCATATTATACAATATCCCTGGCATTATAGTCAGATTGTGGAAGGCCTTGAATGCCACCTGAGAAAGGAGTCTGATCTTCATGTATTAGGCAGTAATCACCAAAGACTGTTGATTAGAGAACTGGCATGATCAGATCTACATATAAGGAAGGCAATAGTATGAAAGGTGAATTAGAAGGTAAAGAGAGGGGTTGTTCTTCACAACTATCTTGCCCTTAATTTATCTCCTGAGACTCATTATACGTTACTCTCCTCACACTCTATGGTCCAGCCAGATTGACCTTCTTGCTGGTCCTCATACATGACATTGCATCTCTCATTTCTATGCCTTTGCTGCCCCCCATACCTGGAATGAATTTCCTTCTCACCTGTGCACCTTAGAATCCCTTCTTTCTCTTCAAGACTAGACTCAAGCACAGCCTTCTACTGAAAGCCATTTCCCAGCTGCCAGAGCCCTCCTTTCCTAAGTATTTTACATTTATTTTGCATGAGTAAAATCTTCCTTACTAAGATACTGTAACTTAAGGGGCAGGGGGTAGGGAGAGCCACCACTTACAGAGTGTTTGGACTACTCAGGAAAGCATCAAGTCCTAGTGGACTTGGAAAAGATTTCAGCAGAGAAGCCATGAAGTATTGGAGGAGAAAGAGGAAGGAGGGCTGTTCTTGGAGTCCAAGAGAACTGGAGAACTGGACTGAACCAACTCCATGATGGTCCAAACCCCCTTGCTTGCTAGGATACATGAGCAGGAAGCTGAGTATTGGCCAGCAGGCATTGTTCATTTGATGGTTACAAGAAAAGGTCAAAAGAGAATGAAATAATGGAAATACTGACCAGACACTATTAAGATACAATCATACCATGACCAGACTGAGGACCAGAATACACATTGACCTGGAATAATAAGTGTGTTTGATGTTTGTGATGAACCCAGAGAAGCTTGGAAATATCTACATGAACTGATGCAGAATGAAGTGAGCAGAGCCAAGAAATATACACAACTACAACAATGTAAATGGAAAGAACAACTACACACAAAAAAAATCAAAAGTGAATGTAATAAAATTATAAAATCGATGAAGAGCTATAACGAGACCCCCTAACCCAGCCTTTCATGGAGATGGGAGGTGCACAGCTGTTACACATTGCACCTATTTTCATACTTTTTAAATGTATCAACCCATTGTACTGATTTTTTTTCCTCTTTAAAAAAATACTATTTATTATATGGATTGTCTCTCTAGGAGGGGGTTACTTGGAATAACTATGGTGATGTAAGAAACAGAAGACATCTATGAAAACTTAAAAAGCAACAACAACCAGATATGTTGTTTGTCAGTCCAATCCACAGTTCTTTGCTTCCCCACCTCTTCTATGCAGTGCTGCCTTCTATATTTTACCTATCTGAACATTTCCTATCTAGTTACCCTTCCTGTCATTGCAGAGTAGGGTGGGGGGAAAAGAGATTCCTCATTTTTGTAGCTTTGCAGCCTGTGATTTAATAGGAGATATGGTATGAGGGACAGCACAGTTTATTTATATTAGTATTGGAGTTGTGTTAGAGTCAAGAAGACCTGGGTACATATTCTGCCTTATACACCTACTAGCTGTGTAGTCCTGGATGAATCCCTTATCTTCTCTTGGAACTCTGTTCCTCATCCACAAAATTCAGGGATTAGCCAACACGGCCTCTGAGGTCCCTTCCAACTCCAAATTATGATCCTGTGACTGGAAGGCTTGATCCTTTCAATGCTCATTTTCTTTTCTGTGCTAATTGAAACTTGAATTGTTAATGGCCATTTACAGTGATTCTTGTATAAATGTGTGGTTAGAGAATGAGAGCAGGGAACCTAACCCAAAGGGAAATAATATTTTCTCTAGCTCAAACTGAACTGGTGGACAATGAGTTGACTAGAGAAGAGAGATGCTGCAATTTTAGCAATATCCCAAATATAACCATATCCACTTTTCCATCCTACATCTGCCTAAGGGAACTGGCTTCAGGGAAGTCTTTCTCAAGAAGGTATGTATGGCAATGGGGTATTTTTGGTCAGAGATGTGCAGGCAGCTTACAAAGAACACTTCCGGTTTCTTGGAGAGAAGGGGAAAAGAAGGTGCTAAGATATGGGAGAAAGGCATAGAAAGGAAGGTAGGAAGCCCGTAAGTCTGATTAAGGGCAAGGAGGATCTTGACTGCTAGACAAAGAAGTTTGGACTTTATTCAGTAGTTAACAGAGAATAATTGAAGATCTTTGTTTTTTAAAATTCTTTTTTTTAGTGTTATGAACTGACAGACATGAATTTTTTTCTGTATACAAAGAATAGAGAAAGACCATATGTGACACCATGAAACTATTACCTATTGTTTGATTTATGCAAAAGTATATATTAAATTTAACATGGTAGTTCCAATACTGCTCAGCTTGTCTGTACCCCCAGCTGAAAATCTTTTTACTCTTTTCTATTTTTAAAATGTTTCATTGATATCCTCCTTTTTTGAGGGGGATCACTCCTATTCCCTATGAATTCTCTCAAAATAAAATTATTCTTGTGCCAAATTAGCAAAATCAAGCAAAAAAAAAATCTATACATTGGCCATATCTGAGAATATGCATTTCCTTCTGCCAAGAGGTGGGAAATATGATTCATAATAAATGAATGATAATGTGAAAAACACTGTGCTGAGCCCTGGATATACAATAGAATCTCTGCTTTCAAGGGACTAACAGTGTAATCAGGGAAGACAATAATATGGAGGAGGTTTCATCTGCAAGTTAAGTGGAAAGGACCTATGGACTTTAGGGTGCAGCAACAAGGCAGAGAGCAATGCCTCTTCTTTAAAGTCATTTTCACTGGAAAAAAATAATATATATTTCTGATGTCAAACAATTCGAAAATGCCAAGAATTTTGGTGGTGAGGGCTTTCTTTTCTGGACCTTCTGTAGGTGAGGGCTGCTAAGGAGGTAGACTGCAGACTCCATTAACAGGTCATGTCTCCATGGGTTGATTTCCTCTATGGTGGCTAGAGGGGCATGCTTGAAGCTAGCCCAGTGACATGGATGATATTAGTATTCTTGGGTATCTTGAGCTCTGGGTCTTGAACTGTGTTACAACCCTGAAGGGATGTGATATTGAGGATCTGGTCTATCACAACCTGAAGGGATGATTTGACCCACATGTCACTTTTATTGTCTTACTAGGAATACTTAGCTTTTGCACTTTCGCACTTTTGCCCCATCAGTGGCGGTTGTTGAGCAGGTAGTGGTGGTGATAGGCCCCTTTCCCACAGGGTTTGCTTCCCTAGGTGGTGGTTGCATGGGCTGGTCTGGAAGCAGGACTAGTGGTCTGGGGAAACTTCTCTTCCCCAGGTGGGGAGGGGGGAGGATTATAGTCCAAGTGGTGATGATGGATTCACCCACCTAGCACATTCCTCTTCGTGCCTCTCTTTAGACACCTTGTGGCTTGAAGTGGTAAATACAGTTTGATGACTTTTGTACTATATCCTTTGACCCAATACTACTACCATTAGTCTTTCAAAGAGATTTTTTTTTTAAAAAAGGGAAAGGACTCTTATGTACAAAAATATTTATAGCAGTAATTTTGGTTGTAGCATAGGACTAGAAACAAAAATGGGTGTCACTCAATTGAGGAACTGTTGAATTATGTTTTATGAATGTAATAGAATATTATTATAATATAAGAAATTACAAAAATAAATGAATTAAGAGAAACTTGGAAATGCATTTTCAAGTGAACAGAACCAAGAGAACTCTTAATACAGTGAACGAGATATTTTAAATTAAAACAACTTTGAATGATTTAAGAACACTGATCAAGGCATTGAAAACTCACAACTCCAGAAGACTGATAAATGCCTCCCACCTGATAGAAAAGTGATAGGCTATAAATATGGAATGAAGTATACATTTTCAGATATGACCATTACAATCTGAATTTGTTTTACTTGACTATATTTTTGTGACAGGAGAGAGCTTTTGTCTTGAGGGAGAGAAATTAGAGGGGATGGAGGGAGATAGGGATAGTGATGCAAGCAAATGGAAAGAGAAGAAAAAAAGAATGCAATATATACAGAGGAGATGGGGAAGAGGGGAAG